TCCCTGTAAAAATGTATGTCTTTAGCTGTATCCCATAGTTTACTTTTTAAAACTTACTTTCTTGTTGCTTTCTAATTTTGTTGCGTTATTATCAGATCACGTGGTTTGTAGAACGTCAACACTCGGAACCATGGTGAGATTTCCCTGTAGACTGCTGTGGGGTCATTTTTAAAAGTAACCAATGTGATAGAAAAAAGCCTATATTCTCATTTTAGTAACTTAAGTATACAGTTGACCCGTGGACAGTGTAGGGGTTAGGGATGTCAACTGCCCCACATGGTCAAAAATCCACATGTAACTTTTAACTTCCCCCAAAATGTAACTATTAATGACCTACTATTTACCAAGAAGCTTTACCAATATCATAAACAGTTGATTAACACATATTTTAAAATAAGCTACAGGAAAGAAAACGTTATTAAGAAAATCATAAGGAAGAGAAAATACATTTATAATACTGTACTAGATTGTGCTGAAAAAAAAATCCACGAATAAGTGGACCCTCACAGTTCAAATCTGTGTTGTTCAGGCATTGACTGTATGTTTGAATTGTAGCTCTGTGATATGTTCACTGTATGATCTTAGGGAACTTATGTATTCTCTCTTGCCTCGGTTTCATCACCTTTAAAATGGGATGATACTGCCCATCTCATAGTTGAGGGCCTGGCAACATGTAGTACCATGTAAATGTTAGCACTGATTAGTATTTCTTTTTTAGCTATTATGTTTGGGTTACTAACTTTGTTGTTCAAATATTCTCTATCCTAGCTCATTTTGTCTACTTAATATATCAGTTTTTGAGAGGTGGTTATTAGATTCTCCCATTACAGTTACAAATTTGCCCATTTCTCCATACAGTTCTGAAAATTTTGCCTTATGTTTTCAGGTTTGATTGTTAGATGCCTACAGGTTCATTATTAGAGAGTTTTAGTGAACAATTCTTTTTACCAGGATAGATACCATGTTGAATTTAGCCAGTTCATGTTTATCATGCTTACTGATACCATTAAGATTATTTCTGTCAATTTATTTTGTGCTTTCTATTTATCAACATTTCCTGATAACCTACAGTTTTCCTTTAGAAACTTGGACTAATTAACTTTATCATTATTTATGTACTTATATTGTAGTATTATACTATTCTGATTTATTGTTGCTATTCCACATTTACTGTGTAATTTTCCTTGGATTATATCGAACATGTATTTATAACAGGTGTCTCAAAAAGCTGTTTTGCTTAGACTGTGATATTAGCTCCTGGCCTTTGTAGGAATTAGATATCCAAGATCCTTTTAATGCCCCAGATACCTCATAGCGGGAGGCGAAGGTGGGTCTTTTGGCTTACAGTCCACATGGAGGTTGTAAGCTGGTCAATGACAACATTTTTGAAAGTGCACAGCCAGGACCCAAACTCACCGGGCCCTGCAACTAATGGCATGTCAGCCAGCTGGAATTTAGTATCCCGTTACACACAATAAAGAAAAAAGATTCAGGCAGAGGAAAATGGCCATGCAGAATGTTCTCAGTTATTGGCTGTGGGATTTATAACATTTTAAAAACTGTATATGGGATTACTTTTACCTTCTAGGATGGGAGACAGAGAACACTCCTATAACTAACGCAAAGCAGAAAAACTATTTTCTGTTTTATTTATTGCCGTGTCTCTGGAATAGTGTTCGTCACCTAGTAAATGACTCATAAATATCTGTGAGCAATTTACAGTAGCAAAAAAGAAAAAAATTGTTATGGGAACTTCAAGAGCAGAGGGTATAATTGCAGCAAAAGAGATTGTGAAGGCTTCATGGAGGCAGTGGCTGTTGAGTGGGGCTTTGGAAGGATAAGCATGATCTAGAGATTAAAGAAACAGAGTACTAGAAGTGATAGAAAAACAACATGGCATGACTGTGGGAGACATTCCATATTCGACTGTTGCATCTGTGCCCGGTGTTGGGCTTAAAGAGGGCCTACAGCAGGGCGGGCAGTCAGAAGGACAGAAGGACAGATGGGGAATGGGGAAGACCAAGGACGAATACAGCCCAGGAGGCTGAGCTGAAATGGTATCAGTTTCTGAGGCCGATGAGCCTCCAGCTCTGATGATTTTGGTGACCTGTAGGAGAATCCGGCATCCTTCATCATAGGGCTAAACATGCCCTGGGCCCAGGGTGTGAGAAGCCTATGGAGGGTCTGGTGAGAAGTAGAGGAGCCGAGAGCCCCAAGCAGCCCAGGCCAACCAGCCAAGCCAGCAGATCAGCGACAACGTGCACCTACATCAAGCATCCAAGCATGAAAAGAAGCAGGCTGCTCCTTCACACCCATATTCCAGGTCTTAAGCAAAGTCACATGGCCCAGAATTATGCAGGGAAGGAAAACCTGGAAAAGGTAGTTTTGGCTTAGCTAAGGACCCAGACAGGGTTTTGAAAGTTTGGGTGTGGGAGGCAGAGGGAACTCTTACTCTCCAATTGGCCACCACCTCCGGGCACCCCTGAACACGCCCACCCAGGTAGAGATGGGCAGGGGTTCCCTGAGGGCCACTTCCACCCTGATTCTCTGGAAATGAAGGGTCCAGGATCGCATGGCATCTGCTATGTTTAGAGGAAACACAAATGATTCAAACAGAACTTGGAACTTAAGAATCATAAAGGCACAAAGGGCCCCTGAGTAGCGCTGGAAAACACCCGAACTCTGGGCCATGGGATGTAGTGGGAATGTGGGGCAGGTGTGGAAGAAAATGGCCCTCCTGCTATCCTCTAGTGGCCCATGATTTGTTTCGGTTTATTCATATAGTGTGTACTGAATGTTCTCCATGTGCCACACACTGTTCCAGGAACCAAGGAAAGGAGCGTGAACAGAGCAGAGTCCCTGCCGCCCTGGAGCTTACCTTCCAGAAAGGGAAACCGAAGAAAAAAGTAGACAAGTAATTAACATGAGGCCATGATTTGCACTTTGAGGAAGTTATAGAGCAAGGTGGGAGACAGAAAGGGAGAGGGGGTGGTATTTTAGAGAAGGTGACCAGAGAACAATAATCTTGGGAAATCTTAATTTGAGTATTCATTCTATTTCAAGGACTTTACATTTATTGGTTTATTTAATCCTCATGACAACCTAAATAGTTTTTCTATTTAGTATTAGATATTAGATAGTATTACTATCATTAGTAACACAGAGAACTGGGATTTAAACATAGGTATCTGGTACCAGAGCCCAGAATTTAAACCAGGGAAAGTCTCTCTGTTGTGGTGAGTGAAGTGAAGGAGCAAGGCATGCCAATATCTTAGGAAAGAGCATTGTGGGTGGTGGAACAGTCTGTGCAAATGCCCTGAGGCAAGTGCATGCTTGTTGTTTAGGGAGGATGAGACCAAGAGTTCAGATTGGGACATGTTGCAGTTTGAGAATCTTGTTAAACATCCGAGAGATATCTAGGATATCTCTTGGAGATAAGCATCCAAGAGATATCTGGAGGACAATTGGATATCCAAGTCCAGACTTCAGGGGAAAGCTTGGAAATAGATTAAATTTCTTTGTCATCAGTATTCTTGGAATTAGATGAGATTCTGGGGAGTGAGAGAGAGAAGTCCAAGGACTAAGGTGTGGAGCAGAAGAGCAGGTGGCTTGAGCAGAAGAGACTAAGAAGGAGCAGCTGGCAAGGGAGGAGGACAGAGGGCCGCATGCAGAAGGGAGTGACCAGATATTTCCAGTTCTGCAGCGACTGGAAATGGCCCAAGGAGTGGCCATTGAGTTTGGCAGCACAGAGGTCATCATTGGCCTTGACATTGGGACTTTTAAACACTTTTTTAATGTTTATTTATTTTTGAGAGAGAAAGAGAGACAGAGCGTGAGTGGGGGAGGGGCGGCGAGAGAGGGAGACACAGAATCCGAAGCAGGCTCCAGGCTCCAAGCTGTCAGCACAGAGCCCGACGCGGGGCTTGAACCCACGGGCCTTGAGATCATGACTTGAGCCAAAGTCGAACACTTAACCGACTGAGCCACCCAGGCGCCCTGACATTAGCGACCTTTGATAGACATTGCAGTACCTGGAAATACAACCAAAGCAATTTCATGTCAGCTTGAGAGGGAATGGGAGCCCCAGGCCCCATCCTCCAGCCTCTGTTCTGCCCCTTGCAAACCCTGAGGGTCCCAGGGACATGTCCCAGGGTCTCTGGAGCACAAGCTGAAAACCACAGATGTAAGCAACCTGTTTGTTTCACAGCTGATGAAGCTTTTGTCCAGAAAAGGGAGAAGGAGGCTGGCTCAAGGCCATACAAGCAGTTAGCGGAACCCCAGGTTACAATTTATCATTATTTAATGAGACTTGCCCATAAAGAAATCTGTTCCTAGCTTGTCTTACAATAGTGTGTTCCATAGACAATGGTTACTATGACAAATAGAAAAATCAAAATAAAAAAGTCTTTTTCACCTTTTATCTCTTTGGAAAGGGGAGAATGCTAACACGAACAAATTAGATTCACAGAAAATTCTGAGGCCTCAGTGATCATTCCTGGTTTCCACATTCTCCTCCTACCACACCTTATGTCTCAACACGTACGGTCATTCAGAGAGTCCCATGTTCTCCGATCCTATGTAATGAGATGTCACAGGCTTCCACCTTAAAACAGGTATCATAATAATAGCAGTTGTTCACACTAATCAGTAAGCTTTGCTGGCAGTGTTCTCTGATCCCCACAGCAGCCCCAGGGTCAGACTGCCTGATTGTATGTCCCATTTCTGCCACTCACTGATGGTGGGACCCTGGACAGGTTACTGATTGTCTCTGAGCTTAAGTTTCATCAGCTATGTGAAATGCTTGGTCAGCTGAAAGACAGGACAAGGGGACAAGGGCTGCTGCTAAACCAGGCACTGTGCTGGGCACTGAATCAAACCAGGCTGTGCACCGATCGTGGATCGCTGGGGGCCCTTTCTCCTCCACTCTCTGGTTTGATAAGCCACAGGCTGAATCAGGGAAGTGTACTTAGTCTCATCTTGCAACTGTTTTTTTGCCTTAGGATCCATGCTCGAAGCTGAATAAACCTCAGACCCCTCCCAAAGGAGAAGAGTACCAGGATAAGTTAGCAGCTGAAGAAGGAACCAGCAGTGATGAAGAAGAAAGGTACAGGAGGCCATACAGGCTTGCAAGTGCTCCAATGAATGAGAACTCAGATTTGGAAGGACTCATTCATTCATCCATCCATTCATTCATTCCTCAAGTATTTATCACTGCCCTTTACATCATGTCCTCAGTGCAGCTTTGGGTTTTACACAATTTATCTTATTTAATTGTTATACCAACCTGGAGAGTCCATTCTATATATTAAGAATCTGAGACTCAAAGAGGTTAGTAAGCCTGTCTAAAACTCAGACCTGGACTAGCCTCAAACCTCTATTCCTTATTCTTCCAAGTTTTTTTAAACTAGGGGAGATATGGGGACTCTGTCACCGATGGGAAACCCCCATCTCTATCACCTATATTAGTCAGCTTTAGCTGCTGTAACAAACATCCCCAAAATATCAGTGATTTTTTAACTCATAGGTCAGCTATGTATAATCTTCGCTCCTGGCTGAGGGTCCCATGTTATTGCCTGTCCCAAACCTTGGGTAGAGTTCAAGTCTCATCCACATGCTTTGTCATTCTGGGACTGAGACTGAAATATTAGCCCCTATCTAGGGCATGTTGTTGTCATGGTAAAGGGAAGAATCTCAAAACAGCTGATGAAAATATGCAGTGGCTTTTAAAGCCTACACTCAGAACTGCAATCTCTCATTTCTATTCGTATTCCACTGGCCAAAGCAAGTCACATGACCCAAACTATCACTGGACAGAGAATATGCTGTCCATATGACTTATAGTCAGCTCTGGGTGCTATAACAAAACACCACAGATCGGGTGGCCTAAACAACAGAAATTTGTCTCTCATAGTTCTGGAGGCTGGGAAATCCAAGGTCAAGGTGCTGGTCCTGGAGAACTCTGCTCTGGCTTGCAGGTGGCCATTTTCTTTCTGTGTCCTCACATGGTGAGCAAGGTTGAGGAAGGGGGGTTAGAGGAGAGAGAGGGTGGGAGAGGAGAGGTCTCTCTCATGTCTTTTATTTTAAGGGCATTAATCTCACCACGACCAGCTCCACCCTCATGACCTAATCACCTTCCAAAACCCCCATCTCCTGACACCATCACATTGGGCAATAGGTTTCAACATATGAATGGGGGGGGGGGGCATAAACATTCAGATCATAGCCTTGGGAAAGCAGAGTCTACACCCCTAAATCAGACCGATGGCAGTGTCAGGTGGTATAGAGCCCAGTGAACTCCCAGCTACCAGTATTTCACAGAATCCTCCAGATTCTGCCTCAGGATCTATGAGGCACAGAAGAACAGTAGTTAAGGATGACAGACTAGAGCCAGGTCTCCAGGTTAAGTCCTGGTACTTCTGCATTACCATTGGCAGCCACAGACCTTGTCCTGTTTAGAACTCATAATTCCAGAGGGAAAGATAAAGCCTTTTTCTTAAAAATACTGACAGAAACTTCAAAGAAGTCTCTAAGTTGCCCAGCTTGGGTCACATGTTGATGCCTGAGCCAAGCTGTCTGGCCTGGCCTTTGTCACCTGCCCTCCCCTGGGCCCATCTGGGGATGAGGGCAGAGTGAGCTGCACCTGAACCCTGTGGACTAAAAAGAATCATGGGAAAAGAGGAAAAGCTTTCCCCAGGGAGAGGATGCTGGGGCAGCCTTGTCTTTTTCTCCCGTGGTGGCTATACTGGTAAGGGCTGTCCTCAATTACAGAAGCAAAACGGAGGTGGGGGCTCTGAAGGTCATTCCCACAGGGCTGTTGGTGGGAACAGAAGAGCTAAACAGTGATAAGATAGGAACAGAATGGTTGCCTGAGCGCTAAGATCAGGAGCTGCAGGAAGGGGCGAGGTTGCATATTCAGTAGTTGCCCTCATGGGGAATGCTTGTCAGGAAACCGGGCTTTTTGGAATGGTGGCTCTAAGACGGAAGTGGCTTTTCCATTGGCTTAAGGTCATCGTCAGAAGAGCAGGTTAGGATCAGCTTTAATGGGCAGGGACAGGGACGTCAGGAGAGCCAGTTCGCTTGGTGATGGCTGGATGGAAGTGGCTCCTTAGGAGGTGAGGGAAGTTGAGGCAGTAGAATGAGGTCAGAAAGGGACTTTCCATGAGTGGTGTTCCAGGGAATAATGATGGTGATGAAAATAATAATAAATATTTACTGAATGTTGGCATATGACGTGTGTGTAACATGTTGGCAGATTGAAAGGATTAACCCATTTAGGGGCGCCTGGGTTGCTCAGTCGGTCACACCTCCAACTTCGGCTTAGGTCATGATCTCACAGTTTGTGGGTTTAAGCCCCACGTCGGGTTCTCGTCTGTCAACGCAGAGCCTTGGAGCCCGCTGTGGACCCTCTGTCCCTTTCTCTCTCTGCCCCTCCCCCCTCACGTTCTCTCTCTCTCTCTCTCTCTCTCTCAAAAATAAATACTTAAAAAAGGATTAACCCATCTAATTATTATGTAAATACTATTTTTGAAGTACCTCACTTGAAAGATGAGGAAAATAGAGGAAAGGGAGGTAACTTAACAGGGAGGTTATTGTCTCCCAAGGTAGACAGTAGGATTGGATGAGTGTCTCTGACTTCAGAATCACGGTTTTAGCCACATCTCAATTTAGGGCAGCTAAATTGAGCGTGTGTAAAACCAAGAGCCACAGGCCTTCCACCTCTCCAGGGTCACTTGATCCACTGATAGTCAGTAATAAGAACTGAAACTTCCACTTCCAGCCATGGGCTTCCAGTCTGGTACTAGTTACTCTTTCTGGAAACAGCTATAAAACTGGAGAAAACAGGGGCCCCTGGCTGGCTCAGTCGGTTGAGCATCTGACTTCAGCTCAGGTCATGATCTCACGGCTCAAGGGTTCAAGCCCTGCGTCGGGCTCTGTGCTGACAGCTCAGAGCCTGGAGTCTGCTTTGGATTCTGTGTCTCCCTCTCTCTCTGCCCTTCCCCTGCTCAGGCTCTGTCTCTCGCTCTCAAAAATAAATAAACGTTAGAAAAAAAAATTTTTTTTAACTGGAGAAAACATGAATGCATGCTTGAGTAATGGGACAACATGCAGGGAAGGTTTGTCTTCTTGAGAAGGGAACTGTAGGTCCAAGCCCACGACCGCCCCCTCTTGCCCCTGCTCTTCTGCCTATGGGGAGATGCCAGCTGTGGCAAGGGGAGGTGAAGTCAAGCTGAGCTGAGAAGGCAGACAGCAGGGCTCAGGGCGGCTAAGGTGGCTGGAATTTATAAGGCAGGGTATCAGAGGAGATGGTCCTGTGGGGGGCAGGAAGGGCAGAGATCTGTTAAGAGGACTTTCCACAGGTCCTCGGCCAAGGGCTTCAGAGAACATCTACAAGATGAGACCCGCACGGTGCCCAGATGTGTGCCTGCTGCCGTGGCACTGAGAAAATGCGAATACCAGAGGCGGTGCTGAGCTGGGAGGTGGTGCCGTCCCAAGCACTACGGGCCTTCGGTGGAGACGTCGTGGAGGTCATACTTTGGGGGTATGAAGGCCATGAAGAACAGACAGTTATAATCAGGGAACAAATAGGGAACTCAGCCGAGGAATGAAAACCTTGAAACAAAAGGAAATTCTGAAGCTGTAAAGTATAGTGTTCAAAATGAAAATCTCACGGGTGTGTATAATAGCAAATTGGAGACCATGGAAGAAAAGTTAATCACTTAAAGACAGATGAATAGAAACTACCTTATCCAGAGAATGAAGAAGAAGAAAGAAAAAAAAAAAAAACATTTTAAGGAAGAGACCTGTGGGACAAAATCAGATGGTCTAACATGCATGCAGTTGGGGCCCAAGAGGAAGAAGAGAAAGAAAATGGATCAGGAAAAAATATTTTAAAAAATAGTGGCTGAATATTCTCTCAGAGTGATGAGGAATGTCAACTTACATATTCAGGGAGCTCAGCAAACGGCCAGCAGGCTGAATCCAAAGACAGTGTCACAGATACATCCCAGAAATCCCTAGATACATCACAGAAAAGCTGCCAAAACAAATATACCCCCCAAAATCTTAAAAGTAGCCAACCTTTGAAAAGACATTACAAATATAGGGGACACGTAAATGCTCATGAGTACTAATGACAACAAACTTCTCTTTGGCCTTCCAGCCTTATTCTCTTTCTGCGTTCCAAAAAAAGCACTTGAACACTATCATTAAAGTACTAAAAGGAAAAATAAAAACAAAAACAACCTGTCAACTCCAAATTCTAAATCCAGTGAAAATATCCTTCAAAAATGAGAGTGAAACAAAAACATATTCGGGCACACAAAAGCTAAGAGAATTTTTCACCAACCAACTTTCAGTATGATAAATGCTAATGGAATTTATTTAAGCCAAAAGGAAGTGACTGGATTTAAACTTGGATCTAGGGGGGTAGAAAATGAAGAACAACAGAAATGGTAAACATTTAGGTAAAAGTCTATTGTTTTACTTTCTTTCCATTTCTTTAAAACACATCTAACTGCTTAAGAAGGAGCATGATGATAATGATATTACCATTTTACTGTGGGATTCATAATGTATGTTGCTGACAATATATGACTACATTAGCACAAAGGACAGGGATAGGCTTTTTTTTTTCTTTCATTTTTTTGTTTACTCTCACTTCTTTTTTAATAGCAGTATAGTTGACAGGCATGTTACATTAGCACAACACAGTTATCCCAAAACTCTATGCATTATGCTATGCTTTCCACAAGTGTAGCTACCATCTGTCACCATACAACACTGTTACAATACCATTGACTGTGTCCCCTGGGCTGTGCCTTTCAACCCCATGACTTCTTTTTTTTTTTAATTTTTTTTTCAACGTTTTTTATTTATTTTTGGGACAGAGAGAAACAGAGCATGAACGGGGGAGGGGCAGAGAGAGAGGGAGACACAGAATCGGAAACAGGCTCCAGGCTCCGAGCCATCAGCCCAGGGCCCGACGCGGGGCTCGAACTCCCGGACCGCGAGATCGTGACCTGGCTGAAGTAGGACACTTAACCGACTGCGCCACCCAGGCGCCCCATCAACCCCATGACTTCTTCATTCCACAACTGGAAGCCT